CAATCGGATCACTTGGGGTGACATCGAGAGGATTGCCTTCCCTTTACTGCTTCATTACCCGAGCGCTGAGATATTCCGATATCCGGGCGGAAACTTCAAAGAGAACCGTCTGTTTAACGACATTTGCAGCTTCTTTGACCACATAATTCCCGCCTATTTTTTTGACGCATTGATGGCACTGACGGGTCGCAAGAGAATGTAAGCCACCACTCATTCCTTTGCAATCCATTCATTTGCTAACTGTTTGTATTGTTTACCCAAAGTATGGTCAGAATCTACGAGAAGTTGCATCGGGCGACCGGTGCCCTCGAATGGTTCACCACAAGAGAGTGGAAGTTCAGTGCGAATAATGTACTCATGCTTATCGATCAACTCAAGGGAGTGGATAAAGAGGTAATGCTCTCAATAAATGATTACCATTCATACAGAATACTAACAGAATATTCTGTGATATAGACATTCCATTTTGATATCCGTGACCTCCATTGGCCCACATATTGGGAGGACTATGTGTTGGGTTCGCGGAAATACATACTAAAAGAAGACAACTCCTCTCTACCCAAAGCCAGAAGTAATTTGCGGCGGTATGTGTTGGCAGGACTTGTATTGTAGACCACATATGACTGAATCTGTTTGTTGGATATATTTAGGATGTATTTGATGCACAAATTGATTGGATTCTTGATAATGTACGGCATTTGGCACCGTTTCCTTCTACGCACACATGCGGCCCGACGTCTGTGGCTGTTGTTGAGCTCATTAGTGATGAAACTGTTCAGTATTTTGCCCGCAATCGCCAATACATAATAAGATTGATTACAATTTTGTAAAGTCAATTCTTTAATGAATTAGAAGTCATTTTTGAATAATAAGTTTTATGAGGTATTAATTTTGAATTTTAGAAATTTCATTTCACAATCACTAACTGGTCTGCCATTAATTGCATACAATTTTTCAATTGTTTTACTCATTACAATATTGGGAAACAATTTGCCACAATTTTAACAATAAAAACCAAAACACATAATTGACTGAATTACAATAAGATTCTAAAATCTATGCATGTTTTACATGTAATGTATCTCTAATTGTATGTGATTTTAGTTTTTAGTTTAATATACGGATTAATTATTTGTGTTATATAATCGTGTAATTTATTAATGAATTATATACGGTATTAGAAACAATTCTGCGAACAAAATACAAATTCATTGGTGTTTTTATTCAAAACATAATATACAGAGTTTACTATACGAACAGATTTTAATTAAATTATAAATTTTAGTTTTAAACACAAAGAAATGTTTTTATTTAATTTTTTCCCATAAACTCAAGGATGAGTAACTCATCCGAGATTTTGTTTAGATTTTATTAATTTTAGTTGTAATATAAGTGCAGATAATTTAATGTTTATTTAATAATATTTTCTGTTAAATATTGATTATTTAATTACTGCCCTCATATTAATTACCATTAAATCGATTTATAAGTATTTTCTTTTGTTATTCAAACATTTGAATATTTGTTATGTGAAGTGATTTTAAACTGAATTTATTTAAAATAAAATCAATTATTAAATATGAAATTCTCACTTGATCCTTTAACCATTTCAATAAGTGATTATTTTTAAACTTGTGGTTTTTTATGAATTAAAAAATAAATTTTACCCTATACTATATGTTTGGAAGTTATTAAACTTATTTTATTTAATCATCACTGCACTTTAATGTTTGTCACTAATTATATCAATTTAAAGTATAAATATTTATAATTATTATACTTTAAATCAAGATTTTTCAAAAAACATTCCATAAAATGGTTCGGGTAATATACCGGTAGTAATATTGTTAATATACTTTTCAGATAATTTGTAAACTTATTTTGAAATTCATATAAATTTAAGCCAAGTTTTAAGTGCATTCAATCGTAATTTTTAAAAATTTTCATTGAATTTAAATTAAATGAAAAATTAATGCTTTTTATTATAATTAGCATAAGAATAAAATATATTCTAATTTATGATGAATTCATGATAAATTGATAAGGTATGATAAATGTACCCAGTGGTACTACCCACGCAATAATGTGTTAATATTATGCAGAATTATATCCATATGAAACTCACCGGCAATTCATTGATTGCGAGTCCGATAATCCCAAGGATAACCACTCATTCACTTTCATTTCCTTGACGTCAATCTATTTTTATGAAAAGATTTCATTTAAATAAATTAAGTGATAAATAAAAACAAGAAAATCTCAATAAAAAAGGCAACAAAATATTCACTCGATTCTGAGGCAAGAATGAGTCAATGAATGCATTCAAATAAAGCGCTCAAAAGAGTCAAGTGTTCAGCGATTGAAGCAAATTTGAATTGTTTATCACAAACACGTGTTTTGCCACTCAATTCACTTTTGCACACAAATGTCAACACAAACACAAACATCCACTCAAAGTGTCACCAATTAATCGCATTCACGGCTTAAATACAGTTAATATTCAAGTGATTTAACGCCAATTTAGCACTTATTTAGTTATGTTTCGTACTATTTATTCGCGTTTAAGTGGATCTCATGTTTTGGTGAGTGTTTGAATGCATTTAGATTTGATTTACTCATAAATTGA